ACACCTAATGGAATGGATATGAGCAACACATCTCGAAGAACAACAGTTACAACGGTGAGTAACCGTCTTTTCAGTTCTACTGGGGTTTTCTGTACCATCTAGTCCACATGGCCAGTCTTGCAGTCACAGAATCATGGCATTTGCAGGACCCTGCCCACAGAAACTATCCAAAAATTACTATTTAAAGTAATTTCTGTAATAAAATAACCCTGGTAAAATAGTTTACATGTCTCATTTTGTATGCAACACAATCCAATAATTTACTTGCTGCTATTTTGACTTCCTAGTTGGTAATCTCTGCACAACCCAAGTAACAAATGGTTTGGTGGAACTATTTCCCTCTCATCGTTACTGATGAAGGCATACTGATTGGGCACTGTGATAAATCTGCTATAATTATTCTGTTGATCAAATTTTAACAATCCTGCACTCTGGCCTTTTTCATAAGCACTAAATCCACTGAAATAGGAAGTTGTCTATAAAGAAGTTTTTTATAATCTGGTGGGCCTCTGACAGTAGCCTGTACTTTAAATTTCAGAAGAAGGTAAGGAGTTCCCATAATACACCAAAAGCTGTATGTTGGGGTGGGGACAGGCAGAATGAGAGAGTTAAATTGCTTGGTGTGATGTTTTTCAAACTGTAGATCATAGGTTACTGCTAGTTTTTGGGTGATATTTGCCAGTCTTGAATTAGTGATGCTGATGAGGTTCAACAAGGACAAGTGCAGAGTCTTGCACTTAGAACGGAAGAATCCCATGCAAGAATCCCAGTTCTGCAGAAAAGGACGTGGGGATTACAGTGGATGAGAAGTTGGATATGAGTCAACAGTGTGCCCTTGTTGCCAAGAAGGCTAACGGCATATTGGGCTGCATTAGAAGTGATTATTCCCATCAATTTGGCACTGGTGAGGCCACATCTGGAGTATTGTGTCCAGGTTTGTGCCCCCCACTACAGAAAGGATGTGGACAGATTAGAGAGAGTCCAGCAGAGGGCAATGAAAATTATTAGGGGTCTGGTTCACATGATTTATGAGGAGAGGCTGAGGGAACTGGGATTATTTAGTCTGCAGAAGAGCAGTGAGGGGGGATCTGATAGCAGCCTTCAATTACCTGAAGGTGGGTTCTAAAGAGGATGGAGCTTGGCTGTTCTCATTGGTGGCAGATGACAGAACAAGAAGCAATGGTGTCAAGTTGCAGTGAGGGAGGTCTAGGTTGGATATTAGGAAAAACTATTTCACTAGGAGGGTGGTGAAGCACTAGAATGTATTATCTAGGGAGGTGGTAGAATCTCCTTCCTTAGAGATTTTTAAGGCCCGGCCTGACAAAGCCTTGTCTGGGATGATTTTGTTGGGGTTGGTCCTGCTTTGAGCAGGGGGTTGGACTAGATGACCTCCTGAGGTCTCTTCCAACCTTAATCTTCTATGATTCTATGCTCTGATTTTTAGCCTAGTCTGTTTTTTATACTCCACTTACATCATGGTGATATCTAGCCATGGCTGTAAACAGAGTGGGGCAGCCGTCCGGGTAGAAAAATGGGGTGGAATTGGAGGAGGGGGGTGGTATATGGGGGCATATGCCCCCCACCCCCATAGATTTCTGACTTCCATTTAGCACGGAAGTTTTCAAACTATGAAGAGCGCCCCCCACAATTTGAAAACCGTTGCCTTCTGGTTGCTTGGAAGCTGGTGGGAGCCACCCAGCCTGCTCTTGCCTCTCCCCAAAGGCACTTGCTCGCTACTGCCCTTGCGTTCCTCTGGGCAGGGTAGTGGTGGGGTGAGTGCCTCAGAGAGCATCTCATGGCAGCTGGGCTCTGCGGACAGGGGCTGGACTCCTTCGGGGGAGAGGCAAGAGTGGGCCGGGTGGCTCCCACCAAACTGTGGTAGGCGCTCGTCATAGTGATCCCCACATCCCCTACCCACACTGCCCTATATTTCTGTCCCCGTGGTTTTGCACTTGGGCGGCTACCCCTCTCAACCTGCCCCAGTTACAGGTCTAGTATCTGCCAGCAAATTTCTTGGCTTTTATGACCTATTAAAATATAAGAAAAAGCATCTCTCTCAGGAATTTCTTTGGTATAAATGCAACTGATCCAATTTGCAGATAAACTAAAATGGGAGGAGTAGTGCAAACAAAGGAAAAACTGTAAAATGACCTACCAAGATAAGAGACATGAGGGCTTCAGGCAGCAAGGGAGTAGGAGGGATTGGGACTAATAAATGTAAAGTCCTTTACTAAAGGAGAAGAGACACATGGCATGGGATATGTTAATCGAGCAATCTGACCTATTGCATTAATGCAAATGTTTTTCTTCTCATTAATTATTTGCTAAACCTTGTTCTTCTCTATAACTAAGTACTAGATTTTAATCAGTGGTCTCTTCCAGGACTCCTCCTGTCAACAGTCACGTTGGAAGTGGTTACAGAGGGCTGGTAAAATAGAAGTAGCTCCAGATTTGGAATTGGTTACAAATCAGCAGAGCTTTCAGATCTTGATGCATTTTGTTTTATCTTTTATATTTATATATAATAAAAAACCCATAGGAAACATCACCTTTAAAAAAGCTGCATGCAAAGAAGATTATGGTTAAGATCTCAAGTCAGGAAATCTCAAAGTAAAGTTATACATGCAAACTTATTTCTGCACACTGTGTATATACATTGATCGTGTCTCTTTAAAATGATTACATACTGTTTCTCAGTATTTCATGCAACTTTTTCTACATCTGAGAAGTACATTGTTAACCTGTAACATATGTTAAGTACTAAAGCACTACTACAGGGAGAATTAACAAAAACTTAGTGGGGTGCGTGGTGGGGTTTGAAAGCAAGATCTTAGACATGACTGAGGAAAGAAAGAGGTGCATAATGGGGGAGACAAGGATGGGCAGATGCTTCAGTAAATGTAACAAAAGTTCAGGCAAGGTTGGGTGAGTCCAATGATAACAGAAAGCTGCGAGGCCTTCTGGGCGTGTGTTGTGTTGTCCTTGGCCAATTAGAAGTAATCTTATACCATTTCTTGATAGACATAACTGATCCAAATGACACCTCTTTCATTAAACCTTCCAGGTCTCATCTTTAGTCATACTTTGACTGAACCCCTATATCTCTTGTTTTTACAACACCAGTACATACTATTGTCTGGAAGACTTCTCTTCTGTTCCCACACTCAGATCCGAATTGGAAAACATCTAGATTTGGGTATAAAAAAGTGTCTGGATGTTCTCATCTGAAGAAATGTGCTTGTTTTAAAAATGTTAATCAAAACGGTTATAGCTAATTCACCGATTGAGAGACATACACCCCAATAAAATGGGCAGGATATCTTTCATTTATTCTCTATCTTGTAGTGATAATACGCCTCACTTTTTTCAATCAGCAACATTGCAAACTGGACACACTTCGGCATCTACCATCTAACTTTATTTGCAATGTTTTTACTGTAAGTAGAACTAATAGCTTTTCCACTGTGTGGGCGCATGTCAAATCAGTGTTTTGCAACTTTTTTTTTTTTTTTTTTTTTGCGTGCCACAATTAGAAAGTAAAGGCCTACATGAAAACCTTTCATGCAGCTCTGACTTTCACTATTTAATTTAGTCATCACAATTTAGGGCATGTTTGGTATATGTTTAGGCAATATATCCAAGAATAGTTTTTCTCTCTTTCTCTGTTGGGTTAACAGCATACATTAGATGTCAGTTTATAGAATTCATTGGTAATTTGGTAGCCTTTATATTCAAGAAAGGCTTCTCTTTTTATAGATCAGTTTAAAGGTGGTAAATCTGGGTTAATCCAAACAAAGGGCTGCTTGGATCCTAAGGAATTAATGGAATTACTGAAATCCAGGGACTACGAAAGGTATGTTAACTTCCACATTTTGTTAGTCCTGGGAGATGCAAATAAGTGTCTGAGGATCTTAACAGCCCTACCCTTCCGATATTGCTAAATGGGTTGTGGGTCTCTGCTATATGGGAGGGGAGGTCCTGTGGGATTCTGGTATGGAAAAGCGGTGTCCTTGGGTGGAAAAATGTTGAGAACTGCAGTGTTTAGACTAAGATACTCTTATTTCTATAGAGAGGTTAAAGGATCCAGAGAGAAAGTAATCAGTGACAAAGATCTAGAGTTACTGCTGGATAGAAGTGATCTTATTGGTAAGTAAAACTAATTTGGTCCTCTTTTCCTATTTGACAGTAACATGTGTAGAATTTTTCCCTTATATTTTATATGTAAAGGCTGAGGAGAATTGCCAATGCCTTTATTTGTCCAAGAGCAGGGTCCCCACAGAAATTTCTAATCAAATTTTGTGTCAGTGTTCTGTTCAAACAAAATGGATGTATGTGAAGTACCATTGTCTACTACTACATTGACAACTAGAGCTGGTCAGGAAGTTTAACAACTTTTTTGGTCTGAAAATGCCAATTCATCAAAACTGAAATTGTTCCTGGGAAATGAAGGGTTGTTTTGATGAATTTCCTGTTTCGAAAATCTTTAAAATTGTCAAAACAGGACATTTTAAAAACATTTGTGGGGGGGACTTGAAACAGCTTTTTGTTTTGAAACACGAGCTAATTATAGTATTTCTTGTTTAACCTTCATTAAAAAAAAATTTGAAATTATTGAAATGAAATGTTGCAATTGACCTCAACCAAAAAAGTCTCAGATTTTGTTGTTTTTCCTCCTGATTTGGGATGGGGTAACCATTTCCTACCCAATTCTATTGACAACTAACACTCAGCATGTTGTATATTTCATTCAGCATCTGCTAGTAGGAGGAACAAGCTTCTTTCTCTGCACTGTTCTACTTCCAATGTAAGACTATACACAATTTTGTTTAACCTTTACTTTTGTTTGTTTTTCTCTTAGACCAAATGAAAAAGTCTGAATCAGCTGAAAAAGAAAAAGTGGGAGTGTTCAAGGTCCTAGAAGATTCTGAAGACTCCAGTGCAGAATGTGTATTTTGAAGCGTGACTGGCTTCTTAAAGTACAGCCCAAACTTCTTGGGACTAACAGCAGAGCTTGTAAGGCCCTCATTTACATATAGTGACTCTTGATTATGCTGATTTCCCCCCCAGCCTGGTTCAAATCTTTTTTACTTTTCAGTGAGTTGTACAACACGTCAGGTAGCATACTTCATGATGATGTAGCATACCTAAAAATTTCATACTTGTGAACCTCACATGAAGAATTACGAAAATGAACATGTTTCAGATGTTTAGGTAGCTTTTGTGCTCCAGTGACACACTGCCAGGTTTGTACAAAATCTTCCTGTGGAAGTTTTGTGAATTTTTTTTATTTTTCTGTCTAATTTGACCTAATGTGTCATTTATGATTTTATTGGGAAAGGGAAGAGTGTCTGGTACATTTGTTTACAAACAATCGTGTAACTTCAGTTTTAAATTTTGCAAAATATTTTGCTAATAAATGTGTCCATTTTGTCATGTGATTTTATTGGGGGCGGGGCAGCTTTCAGTGTAAGAATATCTTGTTTAATTATGCCTCTTTCTGATCTGTGAAAGGTCCCTTGCAGGTGAAACTAGGGAAAATGATCAAAGCTAAATACTTTTCAGTGGTTTATGTATAATATTTAGAAAAACTGGACAAGCACAAGGCCATGGGGCTGGATGCTCTGCACCCGAGGGTGCTAAAGGAGTTGGCGGATGTGAGTGCAGAGCTGTTGGCCATTCTCTTTGAAAACTCATGGTGATCAGGGGAGGTCCCAGATGACTGGAAAAAGGCTAATGTAGTGCCCATCTTTAAAAAAGGGAGGGAGGAGGATCTGGGGAACTACAGGCCAGTCAGCTTCACCTCAGTCCCTGGAAAAATCATGGAGCAGGTCCTCAAGGAATCAATTCTGAAGCACTTAGAGGAGAGGAAAGTGATCAGGAACAGTCAGCATGGATTCACCAAGGGCAAGTCAGGCCTGACTATCCTAATTGCCTTCTATGAGGAAATAACTGGGTTTGGGGATGAGGGGAAAGCAGTGGATGTGTTATTCCTTGTCTTTAGCAAAGCTTTTGATACAGTTTCCCACAGTATTCTTGCCAGCAAGGGTATGGGCTGGATGAATGGACTATAAGGGGGATAGAAAGCTGGCTAGATCATCGGGCTCAATGGGTAGTGATCAACGGCTCCATGTCTAGTTGGCAGTCGGTTTCAAGTAGAGTGCCCAAGTTGCAGTTGGGGAGGTTTAGGTTAGATATTAGGAAAAACTTTTTCACGAGGAGGGTGGTGAAGCACTGGAGTGGGTTACCTAAGGAGGTGGTGGAATCTCCTTCCTTAGAGGTTTTTAAGATCAGGCTTGACAAAGCCCTGGCTGGGATGACTTAGTTGGGAATTGGTCCTGCTTTGAGCAGGGACTTGGACTAGATGACCTCCTGAGGTCCCTTCCAACCCTGATACTCTATGATATGCAACTTCCATGTGTAACTTTTCCATATTCTTAAGGTACTGGGCTAAAGCAATCACCTGAGACTACATGCCCCAAGCATGGAATTTGCCACAGACTGGTATTTCAGGATCTATGCTTAAAAAAACACACAACCCCTCTCTCCTTCAGAGTACCAAAGAACTCTTAATTTAGGCCATGTAAACTGGTGAAAGGTTATCACTTTCAGTCTGTAGTCAGGTTAGTATGCCCCAGGAGGTATGAATTGGGACATGCATTTCAGGGACCAGTTAGCTTTTAAATACAATGTTACACTACTAGTCAAAAGCTCTGTCTCCCATTGTGTAATAACACATTTTCAGTACAAATATATAGCATGTTCAAACTGGAGCCATTTTAAACTGCTCTATTTGAGTGCTACCCACACTGGAAGAACTGTGCCAGAAGCTAGCAATACTTGAACTGTAGTAGTGTAATTAAACTGCTTACACCAGAATTAAGTTTACAGCTTTTCTGTTTGATTTTAACAGGGGAAGTCAAGTTCTGTATGTCCTGAATGGCTTAAGAATTAATGAAGTGTTATAACAAAGACTGACAGAGTTTCAAAAGTACCTAGTGGCACTGATTTCCTAAATGTATGTCAAATACCACTGATTTAAGGGTTTGCATCAGTTTGAATAAAGTTGGTTAAAGTGCTACACTAGCAAAAACAATGAGGAGGGCTTGTGGCACCTTAGGCCTTGGCTACACTTACCCGCAAGTTCGACGGCTGGAAATC